TTAAAATAAAATATATTCTAAAAAAGTAATTATTGTTATAGTTAATTATAAATAAATATAATAATTTTTTTTTTTTCAGTCTGATTCTTACTCAGTTGGATTACTATTATCTTTGCTTGACAATTACTTAATTTTGAATGAAATAGTAGGAATTACATTCCCAAGTATGGCTTTTGAATAATATAATGATCCATTCTAAAACATAAATATTAAGCGAAACACTGAAATATTTGAATTTATTAAACTCTTAGTTGTCTGGGAAAGAGTAAACAGAGCTTCTCTTTCTACTATTGTTGAATAAAATACAAACTAATTCAAATCAAACTAAAATAAGATGAAATCAATTTTATCAAAGCATTATTTAGGTCCTATATAAAATGTTGAGACTGTAAACATCGGATCTGTTGCACCATTAATTTCTTAAAATTAGATTCCTATTTAAGACATCAAGTAAATAAAGATAGATAGTATGAAGGAATTATATAAAATTACAGAATTTCAAGTTGTCGAAATATATTTAAAGTAATTATATTAAAATTAATTTAAATTATAAATAAAATATCCACAGATTACCATTTAAGAATTCAAATACAAGACTTAATTAACAGTTTATACTTTTTATAGAAATTAAGAAATATTTAATTTTAATCATTGATGATGGATACTTCCTTTCTATAAAAAATTAAAGATAAAATTCTAATCAATTATTACAATTTACAATAAAAAATAAACTTTATCATTTTGTTTATTAATAAAATCTATTGTTAAGATTGAAAAATATTGAAAATGCAAAAAAATGGCAAATCCCAAAAATTGCAAAAACATAAAAATCAAAAAAATTACAAAAGTGATAAATTACCTTACTTTCTCTAAAAAAAATTCCAACTAAACTCCAAAAAATACTAAAATTTTAGTTAATTTTTTAGTATAAAATTTTGATTAATTTATAAAATTTTGCCCACTAATTAAAAATAAATTAAAATTTGTAAAAAAACTTTTTTTTAGAACTAATTGACAATTTTGTGCTTGTCATTTACTAACTTTTTTATTTATTTATTTACTAACCAAATAAAATATAACGAATTTCTTTACTTATTCATCACAACACAACTAAAATACTAACGAAAGCCATAGTTTTTTACCATCCTTTCTCCTCCATATTTATTTAATTCGTTATTTATTCTTATATTTCAAGAGAGAATAATATTGGTGCAGAGGGTGCAAAAGATTTAGGCACAGGAATAGCCTAGTGCAAGAATATCACAACTTTGACGCTTGATTTATAGTAAAAATTTAATTGATTGATTGATAAACTAAATATTGATTATTTTAAGCTTTTGACTTAGTTATTAGCTAATTAAGCCAGCTTGTCATTTACTAACTTGCTTATTTATTTATTTACTAACCAAATAAAATATAACGAATTTCTTTACTTATTCATCACAACACAACTAAAATACTAACGAAAGCCATAGTTTTTTACCATCCTTTCTCCTCCATATTTATTTAATTCGTTATTTATTCTTATATTTCAAGAGAGAATAA